TACCAAGGTGATGAAGATGGTGTGCACCATAGCCAGGAAAGTCCTCCTCCACTCTCCTCCAGATCCCCTTCTTCCTCCTCCTTTCTCCTGCCGCCGCCCACCATAGCCAGGATGCGCGCCCAGGCTCAGCGCTGCTCTGGACTAGCGCTGCTGAACCCAGCGCTGCAACAGCATGGCCGCAAAACTGCACGCAGCAAATGAGGAGGAGCACTTCGCTCCTACTGGAGATATACAGGGCAGCCGGCCTCACAGCCGGTTGCTTCATGTGTCTCGCGGCCTCCAAGCCACCTGTACCTCCTCCCTTTCAGAGGGAAACATCATTGAAGACCTGATATCTACTCTACAGGCCCTAGACCTATGCTACCGACCCCCAAAGGTTCTGACTTTTTGTCTTCTTCTGGTCAGCCTACCGCTACTCACGTACTACCGATACCGACACTACGCTACTTGAGTGTGCCCTAAGCTACCACTTCCGCCACTTGAGCGTCTTTCCCTGCTACAACCCCAAAGTCACGGCCACAGGTAAGTACCGTCCCTGCGGGCCTCCCAAACAAACAAGTGCCCTGGCGGGCACACTCAGGCGGACAAGCACTCAGACAGGCCCGCAGACCAGCTTCCAGCGACAAAACTCAGAAATCAGCTGTGTTCTCAGTCCGTGTTTTGGCAGGTCCTTACAAAACAAAATAAAAAGAACTGCATGCATCAAAATGCCAATGCTTGTCTGATCTTCATTGCCATTTGAAAGCTTAGCTACTTCTGTGATCAATCTATAATCACTGAGTTGGGGGATGTGATGGACTGACCTTTTCCATGCCTTGCGAGCTAATGGTTCACTTACCTTTCATGTGGCTGAGTTATCCATAACTGTATCCATAACTAGTATGTCATCCATGTCGTGGTAGCTGATGGATAACTTATTATATATCCATGATTAGTGGGCTGACCATAGTTTGTTAGCTAATCGGTTGAGATAGCCTGTATGAGCTAATATGTTACCTGTTGCTACCTATTGCCATCCTGTTTTCCGCTGGCGCGTGCAGGCCAGTCTGTGAGATCAAGGCACATACAAGCCGTGTTGTGGGAATAGGATATCTCCCAAACAAAGAGAGTGTAAGTGTTAAATTGTTTGCTTCCCCTCTAAGCCCTACCCACTCACCACTCATGCTGTTTGTTGACAAGGATTGGAACTGATTGTTTGTTAAGTGTTTGTCGTGCTTGTTACGATCCTGGTCATTTCCAAAGTGCAAATTCACAAGGAGAGACAATGCCACCCAATTGCGAAAGAAATGAGAGCACTTGCAAAGGGATAGAGACCAAAGAAGAGAGAAAGAAGAGGAAGATGATGTACACCAGCAAGACCAATCACAAATCCCCTTTCTCTCTCCAACTTCCTCCTCCTCCTCGACTTCGCCAATCTTATTCTTCTTCCAAATAATAATAATAACAATGAGTGGATAAACCAGAATCAATATCCGAAGTTCCCTCTTACTGCCAGCACAACAACAGGTCCACCATAGCCATGGCTTCCCCCTTTTTCCTCCTCTCACATGCCAAGGCTATGGCGGACTACCAAGGGCTCTGCCCCCTTGTCCAAAGGACAACACAAAGCAGCTATGTCGCTGCTCATCAGGCCGCCATGCCTGACTCTGCCTCGAGATTCCTTGGTGCAGCACTACCCCAACTGGGGCCTTCCAGATGCAGCGCCTATCAAGGTGATGAAGATGGCGTCCACCATAGCCAGGTAGGTACCTCGCCACTCTCCTCCAACCCCCTTCTTCCTCCTCCTCAGGCTGGGCTGCTTGCCATAGCCAGGCTGAGCGCCCAGCTGCTCTCCTCCTCAAGGCAGCGCTCCAAGTCCAGCAGTAGGTCGCCAATCCTTGCACACTGCAAACGAGGAGGAGCTACTTTCTCCTCCCGAAGATATAGCGGTCTACTTGCGTCTCAGGCGGTGACTTCCTAGGCCGCGCGGCCTCCTAGCGACCTGTACCTCCTCCCTTTCGGAGGGAAACATCATTGCAGGCTCTGATATCGTCCGTACAGGCCCTAGACTCGGGCTACTTGGACTGGTACCGGCGTACCTCTAGCCTACCGCTACTGGGCCTCTAAAAATGCCAATTTTTTATCTTCTTCTCCTCGGTCTCGAGTACCCAATACTTCTACCACTACTTGAGTGGTACCGGCCTACCTGCTACTTGAGCATTTTTCCCACTGCTCTAAACGTCGCGGGCCTACCCCCGCAACCCTCAAAGTCACGGCCAGGGGTAAGTACTGGCCCTGCGGGGCCTCCCAACCAACAAGTACCCTTGCGGGTCACACACACACTCAGGCCGACAAGCACTCAGATAAGCACGCAGACCAGCAGGCACACACACACAGACTTAGAAATCACAGAAGAATGCGGGAATCTCGGCAAGGCATACATTCCAGCGGCAAATCCCAGAAATCAGCAGTGTTATAAGTCTGTGTTTTGGTGGGTCATCACACTAACCCCCCTCTCAAGAGCAAGGTCCCTTCGAGCGGGTAACTCATTCAGAGTTGGAACAAAATGCGTCATAGGCGTAGATCAGAAAGAGAGTTTCAGTATAACCGTGAGGAGTAAGTGTTGCAGAAAACTTAGCAGTCTGTCCATCGGCTATCTGCCTTTCATACGCTTTAATAACACGGGGAGATGGGGGGCGTTCGTTAGCAGCTCTTTTTGGTTGATCCAGTAGAACTCACTCAATGGGTTATAGAGGAAGTGAACTTTGTACTGTCTGTTCCTTCCCTTTCCTTCATGGGAAACAATTCTGTCTATTTCGTGACCACCGTTGATAGCATGAGGAATCATAGGATCTTAGAAGGGGAAAGTCTCATCATTAATGTGGGGAAACAGTTTGGATGCGTGAAAGATCGGATACGTACGCAGATGAGGTGGTACGCCACTCACATATGAAGGGCCAAATTTGTGACCTCCTACCACCTTCATAACCTTCCAAGTACCATAGTACAATGAACGAAGCTTTCGTGATACTCCCTCTTCTTCGGAAAATTCAGACATCTTGATCCATACATAACTTCCTACTTCGAAATTCTCTGTTTTGCGCGATTTGTTAGCATGTTTGATCATGGCATGCTGGCGCTTGTTTGTCGTTGCGATAGCAAGTTAGCAACTTTGAGGAAGCGTGCATACTTGGCATCGTAGTCAGGCATGCGGGGCATCAGACCAGGTGACCGATCGGGGAACAGATAGGAGAGAAGATTGTGCAGCTGCCAACCGTATTGCAGTTGATTCGGTGTCACGCCAGTTTTAGAGTGAATAGAGTTGTTATACAACCCCTTCACTTTGTGTGACTCCTTGTCCCACGTGTTCAGATTGGGAACAATTAACGCGCGAAGAAGTTGAATGGCGGTCTGGTTGATTTCCTCGGCCAACCCATTGGCTTCGGGGTGTCGACCATAAGTCATGTCGAGTTTGATGTCGTTGATTTGAGAGGTGAACTCCTTCCAATCGGTACTAATGAACCTGGTGTCTCGATCACTCACAAGAGTTTTCGTGGGGCCATACTGCAAAATGTACTGCTGGTGGAATTCTTCAATCACAAACTCAGTTGGTGCATGATGAGGTAAAGGAATCAAGTTCAAGAATTTAGAAAAACGATCCACGATTACCATAACTTGTGAATATCCTATATCCTCCCTCACTCACCTTTCCCATGTCCGTGGAATCGATAGAAAGCGACTTACCGGGTCCATCAGGAATGGGGAGGGGTTTCAGCAGGCCATAAGGCTTATGTCGATGGACCTTGGCTCTTTGGCAGACTTGACATTTGACAATACACTTTTGAGCGGATCCCTTTATTCCCGACCAATCAAACTGTTGCAAAAGACTTCTGTAAGTGTTCTCAAAGCCGAAGTGTCCACTCCGACCGTGCGCCAAATCCAAGAAATGAGGTCGGTGAGGCTTAACGTTGGGTACATACAAACCATCAAACTTCCCATAGCGTCGGAGTACAAGGCCCTCGCACTCGTGAAAATCAGGCTGGCTGCTGAGGTCAGCCTTGATCTACTCGAGGATGGGACTTAGGTCTGGATCCTTGGCAGTGTCGTCGACCAGATCCTCCTTCAGTTTCCTTCAGAGATCGTATGAACCCACGGGGCAAGTTAAAAACTCAGAATGTTGAGATAAAGCATCAACGACACGATTACAACCTTTCTTGTGTTTTAGTCCAAAAATGTAAATATCAATGTCATGCAACCAGCAGGTCAGCGTTGGAGAGAGATCAGTTTGCGTTTTGATCCACTGCAAGGTCTGATGATTTGAGTAAACCTTGAAGTGACGACCCAAGAGGTAATGCTCCCAATGCGTTAGCGCCTCTCGCAAGGCATAGAGCTCACACATATATGTGGAGGTAGCTACCTTGTGGCTGGGCATGCGTTTGTTGTAATACTCGAGCGGATGCAGACCATCGTCATCATCTTGTTGCAGCACTGCGCCAATCCCATACTAGCTTGCATCTGTAGTGACCACTAATGTGAGGTTGGGATCCGCAATGCGGCAATGCGGAGCACATGATAACTTACCAAAGCTTCTTTCAAGGCTTGAAACGCAATCTCACATTTCTCACACCACGCGTAAGTGTCATTTTTGCTTGTTAATCTCGAGAGTGGGTGAGCAATGACATAAATTTTGTACAAACTTTCGGAAATACGAAGTCAAACCAAGAAAGGAATGCATTTTGCGTACATTCGCCGGTTGAGGCCATTTTCGTATGACCTCGACCTTAATTGCCTCAGGCTCAAGGCCATTTGCAGACAAAACTCAAGCCCTTTGCAGACAACTGGTGCCCAAGATTGATGACGTTGTCCCTTCCAAACTCGGGTTTCTCTAAGTTGAGGTGCAACTTCACGTCCTCGAGAACCTGCAAGACTTCCTCAAGGTGCTTGACGTGCTCTTCCATGGACTTGCTGAAAACCAGGATATCATCGAGGTAAACGACAACAAACCTGTTGAGCTGATGACGGAGAACTTTATCCATGAGGTACTGAAATGTGGCTGGGGCATTCGTGAGACCGAAGGGCATAGCGATAAATTTATACAACTCATCGCCTGTCGTGAACACAGTTTTGTGTTGGTAGATCGGATCAACTTCAATCTGGTGGTAGCCAGACTTGAGGTCGATCTTGGAGAAGACCTTGCACCCACTTGCAACATCCAGCAAATCATCTATGTGTGGCAGCGGATAAGTGTTCATTCTAGTGATATGATTTAGGACACGATAGTCGATGCATATCCGGAGTTTGCCTCCTTTCTTCGGCACAACCAAGACAGGTGCACCGAACTTAGACTCGCTAGGCCTAATCCATCCACGATCAATCATGTCATCAATCTGATTTCTCAACTCCTCCAACTCGCCTTGCCCCATATGGTAGCTGCAACCCTTTGGAGAAGGCTCCCTTCTACTATCTCGATCTTGTGTTTGACCGAATGCTCGGGAACTCCACGAGGCTCAACCAGAACTTCCTTATCGATCTAGTAGACGACGAATGTTTGTTGGGACTTCCAGTGGAGGATCATCCTCCTCACGGGAGAGAAAATCAATTTGAGAAATTACAGCAATAACATACGAATTTGAAGTAGTTGGATTAGAAGAAGACTTATCTTTTAGAGTAGATGGAACAAAAGTAGATGTAGTAGAAGTAAAGTTACTTTCGGCGGTAGAAAATGCAACAAAAGTAGAAGGAACATGGATAGGCTTTGCAAGGGCTACATGCACATGCTAACCTTCTTTGCGCGTGCGCACTGATATGCAAAATTTGTTTGCACTCAAGATAGTCGTTGGGGACTCGCGCGTCTCACCGAACAAGACGGTACGCTCGTTCCCCATAGTGTCACGCACCACAAATTGAGTATTCGCTCTCGTGGACCTTAGGCAATGGGCTTTTAACCAGCCCAAACGAATGACCGCGTCGAAGGGACACTTGTCGAGGACATAGAAATTCAACTCATGTGTGATAGTGCGATCTTTGTCAAAGGTGACGCGCACACCTTTGACAGCATGTGTCGAGGTGACAACCTCTTGGCTGCCTACTTGGGTCTGACAGGGGTTCTGCAATCCCACTTTCTTCATTCC